ACACAAAATAAAGTCCAGGCCTGGTCCTCTCTCGTCTTTCACTGTCGTCACTCCTCCTTTTATCCTTCCGGAGCTCCTCCGTGGGACTCGAGACCGGTGAGTGGTGCAAGTGTCGCTCATTATCAATTGCCCCACCGGCCTCGCTCCGTTCCCACGGTTCTCGGCCCCGCCCCCACTCGTCACATACCCCCATCGCCCCTCGCAGGCCGGGGGGGTACTCCCGATCTTTTTTTGTATTCCCGTCATTTTACTGACGACTGCTTCTCTAATTGCGGGGAGTTCAACGTGGGATTCACAAAACGTTTGCTCTTGAAAGATGGCTCAGTACGCAGTTTATTTGGACCAGCTGGCTCCACTGAATCACAACCTGCAAGTATGATAAATAATAGATGTTTTCTATCAAGTGTTCAAATTACAAAACTATGGCAATGGGCGTCTCGTTTCCGACACGTGCTGTACGTGGTAGACCAATCACCAATCACAACAGCCATCTGACCAATCAGAACTGCTTCAAACGAATCATTTGAGAATCGTTGGAAAATGAGGTGATATTAAATGCATATTTTGAGAAAACAAAAGCGTTTTTTGACCTTGCATGCATGTAAACCTAATGTAGGAGAGTCCCAAAACAATATTAGGAACCTTAAAAATGGTATAATAGGGGCACTTTAAAAAATGTATTTAAAATCTTCACATCAGACGTTCTTTTTTCTAAGGCAAGGATTCCCAAACTTGTTAGTGAACCCAGTGCACATGCACGTTAAACTCACAGCGCTTGCAGAGATGAAGTTCATGAGAAGCAGCATTATAGCTGCATGCGTGTAAATGAACACAGTGATGCTTTTAATTCTGAAACACGTGCCGCAACTAACTATTTACTTTTCTTAAAGCCTTTAATTAATAATAGTTAAATAATAATAATTAAAAAAACACTGCACTTGCATTTTTCAAAAATGTCGTGCAGAAGAAAGAAAGACATACAGGTTTGTAACAACCTAAATTTAAGCAAAACACACCACTGACACTAGCAAAAAAACAATGAAAGATCTAATTGGTTTTTTGAGATTGTACATACATGCATATTCAACTTAATCAAATCTGTATTTACGGATCTCAAAAATCTGATGCACATCGACAATCAATAAAATAAAATGTACTAATAAAGACAATAATTCTCTTCTGCATATGAAGAGAACCGATAAACTTGTATAACCTTGCTCAACACTTGGCACCCTGTTTGGCTTCAAGCTTGCTAATGTGTTCATGTGTCTTTAATTTTAGGCAAGTTCCTCTTCTTGCAAACCAGCTTGGCAAACACCCTCAGGCTCTGAGAGAACAGTAACAGTGCCAGCATGATGAAAAATAACAGTATGTAGAAAAAAGTTTTAAGGCCAAACTTTACAGTTTTAAAAGAAAATCTTGTGGAAAAAGGGCTGACACAAGCTTGTTCTGGCACATGTCCTTGTGTGAATGAGAATCTGACATGAGTTTGACTATGCAAACACATTACTTTGCATCTACAAATGTCAAAATGACCATGCACAAAAAGACCTGATTCAGGTAAACCTTGGTGTGCATATATTAAATGTTGAAAATGTACAAGGGCAAAGATATTCACATGCATAAATGCAGCAAAAGATGACTGACCACTGATAATTGGAGTTCTGAATTGACGTCTGTTTTGGACTTGCAATGTAAAAAATATTATAGTGTCAAAATCATTCTGTTTGTTTGATTATATTCAAAGCAGTTGCTAGGGTGGATTCAGCAAAAGTGGGACATCATGTAAAATGAGGCAAATTAGTTTAAGGGTCGACTGCCCTTTAAACCCAATCTAAGTCATTCTGGAAATGTTTCCATTTCTCTGACATCATACTGGTGGATGTGATCAAGCTTCAACATCTAACGGATCTCAGCCTATAATCTGGTTTTACATGGTGTCTAGCTGAACCATGCTGTTAATTTGTGATGGGAGAGATTGACTTGGTGCACCTTGATCAAGTTTCACTCATAACAAATCAGATACCAGGTTACAAAAAGCACCTTAAACTAATATGACACGGGTTTTCCAGCAGGAACCTGGCTGTAATTCATGATTCTTATAAGAAAATGTATTTATTTTAATATTTTGTAGCAAATAGATTTTCTATATACTTAAATTTAGTTTCACTTTAGGTAATGACTCACCTTACCTAACAAAAGTTAGTCTATCACTATCAAATTGAATGCATTTATATTTAGGAAGCTGTGGCATCACAAAACCCTATAGGCGCTCAGTTGTTATACAAATTTATCAAAACCTGTTTGGATAGTTCACTGTATTTAAAACAAAAACAATCTCTTTAAGTACATTTCTTTACGTTTTAAAAGTGTGAATGTAGAGCGTAAGATAAAATGAATAAGATAAAATCTGCATGCATCACTTATTACTGCAGTGCAATGGCAAAAACATCTGGAACATTATAAATCATCTTACCACACTTTTATTGATCTCTTCCTCGTTACCATTCATAACAGCATCATCAGTGCATGTGGACCCTTGCAGAGCAGGTTTATGTTGAGACTGCACCAATTCGGAGAGTGTCGGTTTGGAGCTGATGGTTCTTTTCAGCATCTGGATCTCGGCACCGAGCGACGCTGCTGCTGCGGCCGCCGTACCGACACTCTGCTCCGGCATGCCGCAGCGCGTCCTCCCGCTCTCACCACCATCCGAAGCGGCTGCCGCGCTGTGCAGATTGGGTTGAGACGAAGACACCGCACGGTCCAAACCATTTGGTCGTTTCTTTTTAAATATCCAAAACCCACTTTCTTGCTTTTTGTCTTTTTTGCCCAGTTTGGGACTGCCAGTGAGTTTGGGTCTGCCGTGGAAGGACTTCCACGAGCCCCGCTGATGCTGATGATGTGATGGAGAAACATCATCCATGTCTAGTTTCCCTTCCATATGATCTCTGCAGTCTGCTGCTGCGTCCCAGTCAGAGGTTTCTGTGAGGTTAATGTTGAGAACATGCAAAACGATGCAAATATAGCATTTACTACAGTGTTGTGCTCAGCAGGACATGTTGAGGGTTAAAAGCATGTTTGATGCGGAAGTAGGCTAGAGTGATGGAGAGGCAAGTTGTTCCTCAACACATCTGCAGACCTTCATGGTTGTATAAAACGAGACAGTTCCCCCGTCTGTGGTCCTCATCCACGCCCAGTATTTCAAAAAAGTTGCTGTTACCCATAGCTTACTAAATAAATGTGTCATCTATGATCACGCAATGCAGTGTTACTGCCCACCGAGCTTTTATTTACATAAAACGCTTAACGTGAAAAACGCTTAACGTGGCTTAATGCGTTAAGACAGTGTTTTTAAAAGACCAAACTCAGTAAACGCATTATTAATAAAGCATACTATGTACGGACAAGCTGATGAGCCCAAAATACGAATGCAACACGTTTAATTACGCGTTAAGCGTTTTCCTCCCATATAGAAAACCGCGTTAAAACAGTGTTTTTAAAAAACCTAACTCAGAAATAATGATAAGCTAGTTGTGCTTTGTTGTAATTTATGAGGAGAACACACGTTGCTTACAAATTGTTGTGGAGTTTATTATTAGTAGATTTGTATACTTGTTTCGGTCGACTTGGTTATTTTCAACGAATCGGCGAGTGAATTGTTCGAATCTTTCGATTGATTCGAATCACTGGGAAGATTCAAATCTAGACTGTCAAAGTCATATTTTAATACCTGAACCAAATAAAAAATAAAATAAAATAAAACTGTAATGGAAAGTTAATTTGGATATTAATAAGTTAAATTATATCATGAGCAACATAAAAAGTATTTAACAACTAACACTAGCTTTCTATTTTTTCTATTCTAGCCTACTTGTTTTTCTTTGTGTGTGTGTGTGTATATATATATACTGTATATATATATATATAAAATACCTTGCTACGTGTACTGCGTATAGGCTAACCAATACTTGTCATTTGCACTTACGTATGGTTGCTCTTGTGTTAGTTTTGATTGCTTCTATTGTCCTCATTTGTAAGTCGCTTTGGATAAAAGCGTCTGCTAAATGACTAAATGTAAATGTAACAATGATGAAAAGATGTACAGATCAGACAGGTTCTACCACAGAGGATGTGTTTATTTTTCAAAGGAATCATGATATATGGCAGATGGTGCATTTGTCATGCTCATAACTTGAGTAAACATACAGGGCATACAAATCAATATCTCAATGCATCCATGTAAAACCAACAACAACAAGTGATATAAAAGATGTTAGAGCCTACTCACTGATAAAGATTATCTGATATCCATTTTGTGAAATATTATGTATAATGTGGTGTTTTAGGACTGGAACAGTCGTCCTAAGTGGCATATTATAACATGAATCACATAAAACTGTCATAAAGAATTACATTTTTATGTTCAATCAATAAAGTAGACAAAAGGTTGGATCAGTGAAAATTCTCTTCAACATACAGCAGTCGTACAACAACGTTTGCAATTCAAGGTGCTCTGATAAGGTCTTCAGAGACAAATAAATTAATGAAGAATGAAAAATGATTAAAGTATTTGCTTTAATACTGCAAATGTTTTCATACTTCTAAACCTTGTTCAAAATGTAATAACTTGTTGGTATAGCTGCTTTAAAAGTAGAAAATCACTCAAATATTTAGTTTTCCACTTAGTGCTCTTGTTTTAAGCAAATCGGCACAGGCACACAAACTCGCACACACACATTACTAAAAATAATAAAAAAATTGGGCTAGAAACAGATCATAAAAACGGCAGACAAAAAACAATAGAACAACAGAACATTTGCCATGTCCACTGTGAATAAAGCAGCAGTCTTTGCCATGGAAACAGTCATACAGCATCACATGGACTGTACAAAGTGTGAAAACAAACTATCACTAAATCTTTTAGCATTACTAAATATTTCAACTTGGAGCCTGGTTTTAGAGACCAGGCTCAGGTGAAGTGACCCTTTTAACCGCAGTGCTCGACACATGCATTCATATCTGTGTTTTGTCTGACATACAAATACATCTGTTGCTTTCCCTACTGCATATCCTTCAGTGTGATGTTAAAGTGTTACGTGTCTGCTTGTGTAAAAGTGCAGACAAGCTGAAATCAGCCGTTTTCGTTCAGGGCGGCGTTCACAGGTCCTGTTCGTGCATCTGCTGCTGCATTTTTTGAAGCATCTCCTGCATCCTCCGCAACTTTGAAAGACAAAGTGAATAATATTAGGCAGATTCAGCATTTAGTGTTGCAAACAGGGCCTAAAATTAACACTCGCCAAGCACCAAAGGCGAATAAAACCCAGCATTGGTGATAGAATGAAACCCAAGAATGCATTATGGTTTAGCGTGATTATTAAAACACAAAACCTGCGTTGTAATCATATAAATAAGTAATCTTGAAAATGCAACAAGCACCAAATATTTTACCAAGTTTATAATGAGAATGGTTTATAAATCTGTTGTCAAAAAAAAGAGTAGCATTTCAACAGAGGAGTTCCCTGCAGTTTTACACCAAAATAAAAGCTTTATGGTTTAACATTTGAAAGCAAAGAAAAAATCAACCATAAATATTAGTATTTTAATTGTACTATTGTTATATAAAAGAATAATAATAATAATAATTAGTATTTTTATATAAATTATTATTATTATAAAATGCTTTACAGGTAAATAGTATTATAGTGATATTTCTTTATTAATTTGTTTAATCATAAAAATATTAATAATTAATAAAACAAGTATAATAAATAAAATTATTATTATTATTATTATTATTACATCTAATTATTATTGATAATAATATTGAAAATTGCAATTAGCTGTATTTCGCCAATTTGTTCTGCCTGATTTTTAATGAAATAATGCACTTACCATTTCATGGTCGGTAAAAAATATTTATGGCCAGTAAATTTTCTCAAGTCACTGTCGATTTTGTGGCAAAATGTTTTAGGCACGGCTTGCAAATGTCTCAAAAACACAATTTTCTATATATTTTTGTGCTCAATGCCACATTTATTAAGTGTCAGCTAAGAACTGAAATAACTAGATTAAGCAGGACAGCTGTCTGACCTCTTCATCTTTCATCTTTATCAGCTTTTCTGTCTCTACGTCTGGGGTGGACAGTGGTAGTATCGGGATGGGGCTCTCCACGCGATTATCCTGGGTCAGTTTGCTGGTGGAAACAGAACATCTTATAAGCGATAAAGTCAATGGCAAAGTATCTTTTTCTATGATATTTATTAAGATATTTGAGAAAAGCATTGTGACTTGCCTTGTCATTTGCTGTATGCACTGCGCTCTGTAGTTTTCATAGTGCACGTCACACGTGATGTCTTTCAGGTCATGCATGTGCGAGCGAATCAACATGTTCCTCAGCTTGACGAAATCACAATGGGACTGATTCTCCACTGTGACAAAAAGTATGTGCACAAATCTGTTTGTGAAACCTTTGTATACATTTATGGTTAGCTGGCACTCGGTTGATTAAAACTTATTCTTGATGCATTTGTTCTTATCAGTAGAGAGTGTGTCTCATGCAAAATTTAGATATTCAAGCGTAGATCCGTACTGACCTTCCACAATGCCCCATGGGTAAAGTCTCCCTCTCACCCGCTGACCTTTGACCTCCACTATCGTGTTGCTCCCAATCACAGCAAATGGAGTGCTTTCCTGAAACACACAACATAGAACATTTCGATTTTTTGCCTCTAAATTTTAATGTTTTTAAAAGATTACATTAGTTAAAGTTCTCCAGGAAGAGTTGAGTTTACAGTCGCTTTTAGAAGGTTGTGATTTATTCCCTTGTTTGGGTGAAATATTAATTTATTATTTTATTTTAATTTATTATTTTATTTTATTTTATTTCATTTTAAATTTTCCATTATTTTCCAAATTTTCCATTAATTAGTTAAGTTAGTTAAGTCAACTCCAGGAAGAGCTGATTTTACAGCTATTTTTCGAAGACAGACTCCATTGTTCAGGTGAAATATTTGTTTTGATTTTATTTATAGTTTATTTTCCTTTTTTATTTTATTTTATTTGCTTTTAAAGTGTACATTAATTAGTCAGAGTTGAGTTTACAGACTTTTTTCTTTCTTTCTTTTTTTTTTAAGATATTTTTTATTTAATTACAATTTAATGTTAATTTTTTATTTTATTTCATTTATTTATGCATTTATTTTTATTTATTTATTTATTTTGCTTTTACAGTTTACATTAGTTATTTAGTCAAGTTCTGCGGGAAAAGTTGAGCTTACATCCATTTTTCAAAGATGGATTCCCTTGTCCTGGTGGAATATTTTAATTTATTATTTTTTTATTTATTTAATTTTTACTTTGAATGTTTTTATTATTATTAATAATTTTGCAAAATTATCTGCAAAATGTGCCAGAGGAGTAGTTATCAGAGGCTAACTGGATCAAACTAACCAACCAACCAAACCTCAAGCCCTTTGCTGGAGGCAGCTCACTTGGTTTTGGATGAAAGACTTTGATTCTTAGTCAAACTCATAAAAGTTTTAATCTAGCGTGGACCCTATGAACCAGACATCAACCTTGGATGGAACAGCGAACATCAGTTTTCATGTCTCGAGTCATTAAGTACTCAAGCATCCATTTATGAGTCATAATACTGACCTTTAGCTCTCGGTCCTGTTGCTTGAACGCCTCGTCCTCATCAGAATCACAGTCTGGGAACTGGTACACTTTGATTCCGAACTTCTCGATCTCCTCCCTCACCTTGAATAGAAGAATCAAAAACATTGGTTACGTCAGAAGCCCTGACACCACTGAGCGAGGATGCGGTGTGCGTGTGAATGTGAACAGAGCGTGTGCCTGCATAAACAGACTGAGGTCGAGGTGATCCACTTTACCCTGTCCTTCATCTTCCTCATCTCCGCTGGCGTCAGACAGTCAGCCTTGGAAATGAGTGGAACCACGTTCACCTTGTCTTGCAGTGCTTTCATAAACTCCACGTCCACGGGCCGCAGCCTGAGTGGGGAGAAGAGAGAGTGAGTGGGCTTATCCGCTCTGAGATACTTTATTCACTTTGCTTTCAAAAAAACAGACATTTAGAGTCTAATTTTCATAAAAGAGGCCATATGATGGACAATAAGATTTTTTGCTCATTGAGTTTAATGTATATATGAAGTTCATATTAGAGACTTTAGTCTTTGCAACTTTACAGATCTTCTTTATGCACCAAGAGCTTGTAACACTCCAAAGAGAAAGGAAAAATTGAAATCGCATCATATGACCCCTTTAAATGTTTGGGGACGGTAAGATTATTTTTTTTGTGCGTGTTTTTTTGAAAGAAGTCTCTTCTGCTCATCAAGTCTGCATTTATTTGATTAAAAAATACAGTAAAAAAAGTGATATTGTGAAATATTATTCAATTTAAAATAACTCTTTTCTCAATGAATTTTTAATGTAATTTATTCCTGTGATGCAAAGCTGAATTTTCAGTATCATTACTCCAGTCTTCAGTGTCACATGATCCTTCTGAAATCATTCTAATATGCTGATTTGCTGCTCGAGAAACATTTCTAATAATTACCAATGTTGACAGTTTTTGCTGCTTAATATTTTTTGTGGAAACCATGATATAATTTTTCAGGATTCTTTTATGAATAGAAAGTTCAAAAGAACAGCATTTTTTTTTTTTAGCAATTATAAATATATTTACTGTCACTTTTGATCAATTTAATGCATTGTTGCTGAATAAAAGTATTAGTTTCTATAAATTAATCTTACTGACCCCAAACTTTTGAATGGGAGCATATACTTTAATTTTAATAAAAGAAGCAATATGATGGACAACAGTTTTTTTTTGCTCATTCATAACAGAGTTTGACGTACTCTAAAACCATTTATCCACAAATAACTGTAGAACTCACCTAGAAATTATTTTTGTTGGTCTGTTTTTATTATTATTTAATAATATATTTTAAATTCTTTTAATAATTATTTCAGAATTATTTTATTTTGCCAAATGTAACATGTAAGATTTAATGCATTTCATTTTAATTTCTGCATTTAGCAGTTAAGGTATACGTTTAAGGTATTATTTATTTATTTATAGATTTTAGTTGATGCATTCCCTGGGAATCGAACCCATGACCTTAGTGTTGCTAGCAGCATGCTCGACTGTTTGAGCTACAGAAATGCCTTTATCTGAACGTATTTGTACAGTAAGCACATATTTTTATTTTGTACATTATCCAGTATATATTAACAGAGAGTCAGGGTTGGATTACCCATGTCCAAACGGAGGGATGAAGTACAAGCAGCAGTGGACACGGTTATCCTGGATGTTCTTCCTGTTCAAACCGCTTTCATCCCGAAAATACTGTTCAAACTGCTGGTCAATATAGTCAGTAAGGGCCTTCCAGCTGACAGTTGAGACAAAAGATTCTGATTAGCAGAAATCTACCTATAATTAACAAATCTGAGGTAAACTCTAACTATGTACCTCTCCGTATTATTGACAGCGTCTCCAAAACCTGGTGTGTCTATAATAGTCAGCTTCAGCTTAACACCCTTCTCCTCGATGTCAACCGTGTGTTTGATGATCTCCACAGTCTGACTGATGCATATTAAAAAAGGATTTTTTACACGGCACCCCTGCTCTTGACAGACGGCACCCCAGGTTGGGAAACACTGATTTAGAATACATTATTTAAATTGCAGTAAATCTGCAAGCATGGGAGCAGAAATATACCTTCAGCATTCAGTAGTTTCCTGTCCTTGTACAAATCTGTGAGGAACAAGCTGTTGATCAGGGTGGACTTTCCAAGACCAGACTCCCCTAAAAGACAAGGAGGGTAAACATTCAGAAATGCAGTTTTTGCTCATGTGGTCGAGGAAAGTTTGAATCTCCCATCTTTATCTGTCCTCTTTCAATTATACGAATCATTAAAAGTGGCAAAAATACATTTTACTTCACAGGGTTATTATAGTTATATCAAACTAAAACCGAAACTAAAAAAAACTTTTAAAAAATTTCATTACTTGACAAAATAAATGTTAATAAAATTTTTTAAACTTTTTATTCAGCTATTTCAACTGTAATTTCAGCAACATTTCTCATTTTAATTTAGTTTAACTTGATGTACTCAATTAACACTAAAACGGGAATAAAAATTTATAAAAAGAGAAATATATAGACACATATAAAAAACAAAAACCACTAAAAATGACAAAAACACACAACAAAATTACTGTAATTTTAAAGGAAAATGCAATATATATATATATATATGTATATATGTATATAAACAAAAATATTAATAAACACTAATAGTTTCTCAATAATACTTTTCTTTTTTTGGTGATAAGAAGTGTTATTTTAGTATTTTTATATACTATTATAGTATTTATTAATAGTTTGAGTCTTATTTTTATATTTTCAGTTTTAATTTTACTTTTAGTTTAAGTTTTAGTAATTTTGTTATGTTTTTTATGTTTCTATTTAGGTTTAATTTATATTTATTTCAGTTTTATTTTTAGTCATTTTTATTTTTAAAAACTTATTTTAATTGAGTTACTTGCCAAGGGAACGTTTCTAATTTTCATTTAAGTTTTTTTTATTTTAAGTTAATATTTATATTAAAATATAAAAACATTTTAAAATGAAAAGATTTCTATTTCTATTAATATTTATACTTTATTTCATCTTTATTTCAGTTCAATTGGATAGTCCACCCAAAAATGAAAAGTCATAATTTACTCGCCCTCATGTTGTTCCAAACCTGTATGCCTTTCTTTCTTCTGCATGTGGAACACACACACACACACACACACACACACGCACACACACACACACAAAAAAAGATATTTTGAAGAATGTTGATAACCAAACAGTTCTGGATCCCATTGACTTCCATAGTATTTTTTGTCCATACAATAGAATTAATCAATGGGAACCAAAACTGTTTGGTCACCAACATTCTTCAAAAGATGTTCTTTTGTGTTCCACGGAAGACAGAAAGTCATGAACACATATAGAATGTCATGGAACAACATGAGTAAATGATGATAACATTTTCATTTTTGGCTGGACTATCACTTTAAGGAATACAATATTTAAGAGTTTTAATATTAGTTATAGTTAACAATAACAACACTGGTGATAAGAACCTCACCTGCCACCATGAGTGTGAAATCGAAGCCTTTTTTGACCGACTTCCTGTGAACCTGATTCGGGAGGGTGGCGAAGCCGACATACTCTTTTTCCTAAAAGAATGAAATATAATGACATCATTTAATAGTGCAATGCTAATACTACCACATTAATTTCCATATCAAAACAACTGTACAGTATGCAAAAATGGACATCAGCAAAGCAAATCATGTGATAGCTGCGGGATAAAGATGAATCCAAGCGCCCAACCCCCAACCTACACAGCCAGCCTGATGTATGCCACACTCACTTCTTTACTAGGGCAATCCCAGAATTCCTGCCATGTTTCATTGTGTTTAGAGTCTCTGTGTGGGCGCAGCCAATGCCGAAGGCCTCACAGCCCATATTTACAATATTACATAATTTATCCTATTATATAAAACCCTTCTACTGTCATATAGAATCATCATGCTTGGTTTGCATCACAAATATGCTAAATTAGCTCCGTTTATTGGTCCGATGCATCTTAAAGAGCAGCAGAGTATGCACATTTGTTTGACATACCATGCAGAATCTGTGTTTGTATGAAACGCAAATACAATTAGACTAACTAGTAGAGTTTGCTTTTGAGAAAGCATTGTATTATATTACAAAATAGCAATTTCGGATCAAAAAGTGAAGGTCAAAATCTTCAAATCTGTTTTCGCACAATAAATTCTCCTGCTTGGCTTCATCTCCAGGATTGTTTGGCCTGTCTGGGAATCTGGCTGAGGGGGAGAGGTTTATCCTCACTTAGAGGCATGGATATTGGATTTTGCTTTCACGCACAGCTGGCAACAGTCACTGGAAGCCATGTGCATGTATTAGTGGGCGTTCACCGAGAAACAAGACAAGAAATGAATTGAACGTGTCCTAGCAGACAGAGACATTAGTGTTATTTCATCAGTCGTCCAGATTGACTGATAGTTTGCCCTCGGGTGGACATACGGAGAGCCAAGTGCACATTTAGACGTTTTCTAAGCCAGTGCACAGAGCAGACCACATGAAGTGCACATTTATCATGTTTTTTTTTTAATTTGAAGAGGAATATGTAATCATAGAAATATTGCAAAACAGTGTGACATCTCATTAAAGAATGTAGAATATGTCTATAATAGGATATTTATAATTTAAAAGCACTATCTGGGTGAATTTCATCACAAAAATATATGAAATTATATTTTGCATAAAGCCAATGAGCCCTATTTTTGGGGACTATTAAGATTTTTGCATTGTGACATTATTTCAATAACATTTAGTCATATTTCTCCCCTAATTCTTATTATAGTAATGCATAAAGAAAAAAGTGTCACAATGCAAATAATCTTAATTGCAATACAAACATAATTAATTTTTTTGTGCAAAATACAATTTCATTTCTATTTAACTCTGGGGCGAAGTATGACTAGTCTTTGAGATTCACACATATTGTTAAAATTAATTATGTTATTAGATTCAATTCATTTTAATGAACAGGTTAGGGCTAGTGGCTGATGGTATCCGCATCTTTCTCATTGTCCTCAAATGATGCAATGCATGCAGTTCTCCTGCTGCTTTACAGTGAGGTCAAACAGAGATTGTGATGAAATGTGGGACACTGAAAGCAGGCAGTGAGGATTAGTTTCATGCATTTCTGAAAATGTACAGCATCCATGAATTTGATGGATATTTGCAACCCTTAAATGTCAGACCAAATATACAGAATATAATATTTTGGTGTTCATTGTTACTCTCCCAACCAAACAGATGTTAAATAGAAGCTGTGAGTGAGGCAGGACCGTCATAAGAGCCCCATGGCTCTATTCATAGCATTCCAACCCACTGTCCCAGAAAAATATGCAGCACGCGCACAGATGTGAATCAACCTATGGCAAGCACATAGATACGCAGCACATTATTTAAATTGATGATTGCAGAATTAAAAGTAGGCTTACCTCTGCATCCTCTGTTGTGTGATGTGAGACGCCCGCAGCAGGTGAAGGATGCAGACGCGGCGTTAAGAAATCCAGAGCGATTGATGCAAACAGACAAATTACATTTCCGTTATTAAATCATAATGTTATTTCAGTCACCTACCGTTAACACCTCGTGTCTTACCTGATTTCACCGTCCTGCTCTTGTACCTGGCGCTGCTCGTCATCCCGACCGCTTTCGGAACGCCAAATCGCAAATCATACTATGGCGAAGGCGTGCTCATTAATATTCATAAGCCAAGCCTACTCCATTGGACGGTCACCGAGGAACGTCTGCGCGAGTCCATTGCTATTGGATAGCAACCGCGAAACGGCAGCATTACGTAATTAATATTCATGAGATGAGGTTTGGCCATAGTAGGATTCATATATTGGCTTGGAGAACAGCTGGAATAAATATGATGCTGCCGGATGGGATACTGTATATATAAAATACAGATACAGTAAGGATTTATCAATCGATAAACAGTACAAATATGTATAATAATATGTATAATTAAAAGTGTGAAATATAAATAAAAATGTGAAAGAAATAAATCACTTTCAAACCGAGTACCGACCTATAAATGTACATATTAAAAAAAAAATTATATATATTTTTAATTCTTTAGTTAAATGTAAAATAAATAAATGAATAATAAATTAATCCCGAATTATTTTAATATACAATACTTTAATAAACTATTGCATTTGGCTATTATTAATATTTGTTCTTTAATTTATGCAATTATTTATTAATTTTGAATTAATACATTTTTTTTTTTTAAATGATGGCTTATGTAAGTGGTTCTTCCAGGTTTGCATACTGTAGAGATCTGACACATGGTGGCAGCATAACATTATATCCAGATTCACTGTATAAACGTTTGCACTAAAATGGTTTGAATGGATGCATGTGAGTCAGTCTTTGTGTGCTTAAATGATCCATTATAGCTCATGCATGTATTGTCATGCATTGTGATTTTCCTCACAGAGAACGACATGGAAAGGAAGATGTCCGGAGAGCAACATAATAGTGAGACCCTGCTCTGTAAATACTGCCCAGGAAACCGTGTGACAGGTTACAGCCTGAACTATAGGGAACAGCCTGAACTAACCGCTAAACAGAGAGGTTTATTTATTCTAGAAACACATCAAAGGCTACTTTAATTAGGAAGATGCTGACATTGTAACTCTGCTGGAGAAAAAAATGAAGTAGGCCAGTGAATGAATGTGGGCTGTATTAAGAAATTTCCTCTGTTTGTTGAGGAAATAATGTTGATATCTCTCATTTGCTTTCAGAAACTGCTGGCCATTATCGATATATAGCATCTTCTATAATCTATAAAACTATTTTAACTTTTCTCTGTTTTTAAGTATAGTTCAGATTTGAGTTTAGGGCCCTCCAGCGAAGTGGGCTTGATCACTGGGGGGCATTGCTTCATTACAGAGGATTTGGTTAATCTAAATGCATTAGAAATATGTCAGACCATTTCTATGGAAACTTGAAAACTGACATCTTACTGTATAGTCCTCAAACAAAAGAGCCTCCTTTGATCCATAGGAGGTCTGCAGACCTATAGTGTGACCAACAAGTGTTTCAACACCCTTTTTCTGCTAGATTCATAAAATCCGAACCAGGGGAGACTTTTCTTACATATACACGACTTTGGATGATTTGATGGGATCAGGAAGAAGGTCTGCACTGCACTGTATGATTCACTGAAAGCTCACAATAGTTCCCTCTGGTGCAGTTTGTAATTAATTTGGCTTATTCTTATTTCAGAGGAAATGTTGCTCTTGCAGGAGAAATTATCCAATTATGTTGTTTAAGTATCAACTCCTGAATCATGCAAACATTTTTAAATATCTTGCCAAGGAGAGATAAAAATAGAAATAAATCACACAGCTCCTGATAGCATAGATAATTTATTCTTGGAAAAACAATATTTGGGTTCTCAGGAAAATATAAAAAATTGAGATGGCAATTAATCTCGTTGATATCAAGGGAAAGAACTGATTTTTCTTTCCTACAAGTACAGTCAGTACACTACTGTTCAAAAACATTTTTTAAAAATGTTTTTGAAAGCTGCATTTATTTGATCATAAGTACAGTAAAAACAGTAATATTGTGAAATATTTTTACAATTTAAAAGAGCTATTTTTTTTTATTTGAATAGATTTTAAAATGTAATTTATTCCTATGATGGTAAAGCTGGATTTTCAGCATCGTTACTTCAGTCTTCAGATCCTTCAGAAATCATTCTAGAATGCTGATTTGATGCTGGAGAAACTCTTAATGTTATCAATGTTAAAATAGCTGTGCTGCTTAATATTTTAATGGAAACTGTGATACATTTTTTTCAGGATTTTTTGATGAATAGAAAGTTCAAAAGTACCAAATTGATATGAAATAGAAATCTTTTGGAGCATTATAAAAGTTTTTACTAACATTTCTGACCAAGTTAAAGCATCTTTGCTGAATAAAAGTATTAATTTCTCTTTTAAAAAAAAATAGTGTGTGGAATTCATTTAACATCTTACAAAAAAAGCACAAAGTATTGTGGATTTCATCTTTCGTTGCAATGAAAAAGTCTAGATGTAAATCTCTTTGCTAACAGATTTACATGACCTGATGTTAAAATTGTTTATCTGATATAATTTTCATCGGCGCCAGAGTAGCCCCATAAAGCATATTGAGAAATGAGAGACAAATCTGGATGATGTCTAGTTTGTAGTCAGCTCATCAGAGTTTCTGTTGTGTTATTGGCCTGACGAAAGCTGATAGTTATGAACAATGGTGCAACAAAACAAAAACATCATAAAAACAGTGCTGCAATCGCTCATGCGGCCAAACTAGTGCAGGAGCAAACCGGAGGAAAACAATGATGGGAAAATCCTGTAGAAACAGTGAAATAATCCAGCTGCTCGGCACAGTCACCTTCCTGTGCTTCAGTGCTGGTTATTAGACAGCAGCCAAACAATTAACTCTTCAATTAATAGTTCACTCCAGATCTGAACAATCACAGTACAGCTATTTGGCAGTCACACCAGCATTGTTGATGTACTTTCATTCTTCTATAACCATGCTAATTTACAATTTGGTTTCTTAATTGAAATTATGGCTATGGTGTCATCATGCTTCCCTGTTATTTCATCCGAGTATTATATTGGAGCTAAGGCCATTGTTGCTAAGCTTACCGATGCATACATCAGAAAAATACGAAAAAACGTGCCTTTCAAACACAGATATCTGTACATATGGCTTGAGTCCCTCCTCCAGTGTAAAGGTGCAGTCACATTATCGTAATTTCAGCCAAATTTCATGGACAAAAAAGGTCTATTGTATATTGTTAAATAGTGTAGTGATGTAAGAAGCCCAGCTCACACAGAAGTCACTTAAGCAGCAGTTGGTCATTCATATTCAAATGGAAGCTTGTTTCCACCACAGAATAAAAACAATTAAAAAGGTAATTACAACTTTATACCCCGCAGTTCTGACTTTTTATCATTTTTTTTTTGTTTAAATCTCACAATTCTGAGATTATATGTCAGAATTCAGAGAAAAAAGGTTGGAATTGTGAGATGAAAATTAAGAACTCGGTTAAAAAAAAGTGAGATATAAACTCAGAATTAGCAAGGTTTTTTTTTAAATTATAAATTAAAAGAAAACAAGTAGATATAATAGAAAAAGAATAGAGAACGCTAGAGGGTCAATTTTTTTAATAAATAAAAAGAAAACAAGTCGACAGAATAGTAAACAAATAGAGAATACTAGTGTTATAGGGTCATTTTTTTATAATAAATAAAAAAAAAGTAGATAGAATAGAAAAGAACAGAGAACACTAGTGTTAGAGGGTCCATTTTTTTAAACAAAAAGAAAATAAGAAATTCTGACTTTTTTCTCAGAACTGTGAGAAACAAAGTCCAAATTGTGAGATATGAACGCAGAATTGTGAGAAAAAAAAATTAGAATTGTGAGATTTAAAAAAAAAAAATTTTATTCCTTGGCAGAAACGGGCTTCCATCCATTCCCACTTTGAACCCGTTATGAAATTTTCAATAGGAATCCACGCGTGTGAGGGCAAACGCAGATTTCCCGTGTTGAAGTTAGTCACGTGAATTTGCCACATTGACCAAAAGAAAGCTGCTTGTTTTAAATGGGACGTCTGTGAAACGCTCAGTCATATTTGCGTAAACAGGTTTTGTTTTGAAAATGTCTGCTATCTGGTAGCTGTGAAATTACATAAGCACTACGCAGAACATATAGATTTGTGCCAGTTGCAGTGACGCTGAGACACCTTATTTGTTTCTGTTTGGAACGTCTCAAGGTGCTCGATGTACTACAGGATGCTTCATGGTCGCAAACTGGGCATGGAAGCTTGCTGAACGCTTCCTCCAATGGACAGCAACGACTGCGGGCCACAATAACTTTTCTTGGGAAACTGGCATCTCAGGAACACATAGGGATTGTGTTACGCATCCATACAATAGCTCATTAAAGGTGGATCGAGCGACTTTGCACCAGCTCGGTAAAGATGCCTGGTACATTGCAGGAAACGTTTATTGTTCTGTACAAGCTGTTTCCTTGTTTCTCTTCTCATGACGAACAATTGAAGCAAGACGGGTGGGGGTTAAGGCAAACATTTCTCTCTTTTCTCGTAAAACCCAAGTCAAACTGAAAGCTATGAATTTTTCAGAAACGCAAGTGCATAATGAATGAAATATTTAAATAATAATAAAAATAAATATTATAAAACTAAAATAAACTTGCCTTTCTGATCTAATTATTATCGTTTTCTTTTTCATCTGTATTTATTTATTTATTTTTAAGTGCAATAAGGCTTTGAGTTAGTTAAGCACTACCATAAAATATTAGTTTTTTTTTTTGAAGATTGCAATGGATTTGGCTGTTTGAGTGAAGTTGAAATGCATAGAAAATAAAGTTAATACAATTGTTAAAACAATTAATATAATTGTGATTTTCTATGCTACTGAACATCAAAAATAGCTTTTTGTAATCAAACATTGCTCTCGACATTTTACTCAATGCACAAATTTGTAGAAAAACCAAAGAAATTGCAGGGTCAGCTCATCCAATTTCCAGCAAATCTAGCTCCCACTTTTCTAGAAACAGAAGATAAAAAAAAAAAAAACACGTATAATGTCGAAAAATTTTAAAAACTTATTTGAGAGGCTATACAATCCATAA